GTGTCAACACCCTATTGGATAAGAGCTCCCCCACCTCTGGTACCTTATAAAAACCCCTGCTTGCTGCAATAAATAGAGTTCCGGCTTTGACCGCTCTCCTGGCTCGGTGTTCTTTCTTTGTCCCCGGGGCCGAAGCGCAGAGGGGATCGGGCCTGCGACACTCATCATCCCGCTCAGCCCCACAAGAGGTTACCGCCAGCTGGTCCGGGGTCCCTTCCCGCCCTGTGTTGTTGGTCCCCAATGGCGTGGAACCAACACATATTCACCAAGCCTTGAGTCAGGGGCCTGCTGTCAGAGGAGGATGATGTATGAGCAGAGGTAGGCATCTTTGTGTTCCCAACAGACAAGGTCATTGACGGTGTTCCACTAATGAAAATTCTGTTTGCCATTACAATGTCAAGGTTAATCATTCATTTCAAGTAGGTTTTTAGCCTTCATTAAATATATTATGTCCAAGAGTGAATGATGATGTGTATGAATCACAAGGTATGTTTTCCTGTTTTGGGAAGTCAGTAGTTTATAGCAGGTACTTGATTTAAATGGAAATTTTAATGATAGCATGCTCATTCTCATACTTCACATTACTATCACATCTTCCTTGAGCCTTGTAAGAGCCCAGTTAGTTAGGTACTGCTAGTATCATTATCATTTATCTATTTTGCAGTTGTGGTTTAGAGAGGCTGAGTAACTTGTCCAGTAGCACACAGGCAAATAGGTTATTAACAAAGAGCCAAATAAGACAATGATGTCATGAACTGTAAGCTTGTTGACGGCTAGGAGTATGTAGAGGGGTACAGAGTTCTCCTTGGTAACTGACACAGAGCCCTGGATGCAATCTATGCTCAATGCAATGTTCAAAGTAAAATGCATGAAATAGTCCCTAATAATTAAATATGAGAGCTGGAAGACTTGGCCTATGAAGAAGCAAAAGACAAACATTCTGTACTTTTTCCTTTTAAAATGTGGAGATGATTCAGACTATGTTTTATTTATTTGACTGGAGATTATAAATGTAAATATAACTATATAATTATCCTTTCCATGTGTATCTGGCAACTTTCTCCAAAATAATTTGATAGTTTAATAACTTTCTCTGAAGCAATTGAAACTTTTCTCACTCGTGATGTCTTCAGAATTAGAAAGAGAAATTCATAAGCTGCTCAAAGAAAGATAGCATTAAAAAATCAAGGTATTAGTATCCCTGAGATCTCACACTTTAAAATAACTGGTTGTTTAACCGAAACAATACTGGAAATGTCCTAGTAAAGATGGAGACAGACTCATGAAATTTTAGTAGCCCAGGTAAGAAAGCTATGAATTTCTGGATATAAAACAAATTAACTTAGTATTCCTTCTGAACTTGAAAGCTGTGGACCGTTAGTCCCTAAATAACTTCTCAAGTTTCCCTACACTTACCTCTTCTTCTCACTGGGGAAATGGAGTAAATAATGATGCTGATGCTGACTTTTAGGGCTAAACAGTTAAAAAGTGGTCTTACAATAGGTGCAGAAGTGCAAGAACAAAGTAAAGTCCTTGCCGTTTGATTGAATCAAAAAACACCACATTCTCTTAACAGAGATCTAAAGACAGAAATAATGTTGCTCTCAGAAAGCTGGCATTGTTTTTGTTTTGTTCTTTTAATGCCTAACTTGATGTTGTCACGTCAAGACAGAGAGGAGAACTTGAAACGGCAACTGTTGTCTGCTTTTACATCTCTTCCCTTGTCACCTCTTACTTTCCTATGCCTCTGGGTTTCAATCTGTATCAAAACACCCTCATTTCTCATAAACCTATAGAATAAAATCAGCAACACTCAAAGGGTAAAGAACATACATCCTCTTTCCAGGCCTTTTTGGGGCACAGCACTGCAATTTTGGGGAAATGTGCTAGATTTTGAGCATCGGAGTTTACTTTTCTTAGTATTATCTACATTGCATATGTATATATTAAACTGTCAAACTTTGACACCTGAAGAATTATTAAGAATTCAGATTCACAGGCTCTAACTATAGAGATTTCTGTTTCCTGTTTTGAGAAACCATCAGGAATCTGCATTTTGAACAAGCATCTCGGGTGAATCTCATGCATTTTTCTTTAATAAAAAATAAATACTGTCATCATCTTTTACTCATTTGGCATTTTCCAGTTTTCAAAATACTCCTACATGCATATTCAGTTCTGTGAGGTAGATGGGAATGATTATTTCCATTTTGTGGATAAAAGAGACTCTGAATTTAGCAATGATTTTCTCAAGGCCTCATTATACAATCCCCTTTTGCCTATTTCTCTGGATACTTCCCTTAGTTGACCCTTTTTTGTTTGGTTGTTGAATGGCAGGGAGCCCCCAAAGCCAGCCAGCACAATATGTGCCTGCTTTGCTCAAGAATGAGACAAGTGTTCTGGTAGCCAAGGAAGGAAAATAATTTTATTTGTAGAATGTAAACATTTCTCTAATTGATAGTGCTACCAATTGGTTTTAAATAATGTCCCTTGCCCTATCCAGATGCACTTTTGAAAATGTATTCAGCTTCACTTTTGGAGAAGAGGCACGTATGTGTATCTTTTTCACCTGTCTTGTTCTGTATTGTTAGAAACTGAAGGATGCATCGATGGTCCTCATTTAGCCACACTGAACTGCTGCAGGGGACATGTGCTCCCCATTGTCAGTTGGGATTCCCCCCTTCTTCAAGTGCCTTGCCTATTTAATCCTCCTACCAGCCATCTGCCCAACAAGCCCCTTTGTGCAAGCCTCTGTTTTGTCCAACTGGCAGCCTGGATGGACCAGGCCCCCAGAAACAAGACAGGGTAGGGTTGTTAGACTCACCGCTCAGTCTAAACAACGTTACAGACCTCAGTCTTTCTCATTGCCCAAGTGGATCTTTGCTAGGCCCACAGGTTTGTGCCCATACTTAGAGAATTCCTGGGGCCCCTCTGGGCCACAACATCCATTTTCACTAGCTTCCAGAGCTTGCATTTTCCTTGCCCTCTATTAGGGTGTTTCCAACATACACCTGTCTGAGCTTGGAAATCATCCATTCAGTCCTTCGACACTACCCTTGATGCTTAGGTAAATGTCTGTGAAGGGGAGAGATTAGGGATATTTAAAGACAAGTTGAAGAGAAATTTATTTAAGTGTAACTAATAGCCACTCCCAGCCCTTAGCATGAATGGAAGGGGATCCTTTTGCATTTCCTGAATCTCTCATGCTGCATTTTAACTTGGATGACTCCTCTGTGAGTCTCTCTAATATCAGCTGTCCTCACAAGCACTTCTGGAGACCTGACTGCACTCTAAAGCCAATTGTTGACCGTCCTTTCCCACGTCACTCCCCCACCCCATCTCCATTCACCCTCAGTGGAGGTCGCTCACTTGGTTCCTCTTTTGGAGGGCTGAGTCTACTTTGCATCTTTCCAGAGAGAACCAAGAAATCTTGGTTCCAAGGAGGCAGAAGTACTTTTTCCTTTTCCAAAATGAGCCAAAGATTCAACATGAGGGTTCAACATGAGGGCCGGAGAAGCCATTGTTACTTTCTCCAACATCTACTTCCTTTCAAAACAGAATTCTACATGCTCCAGCTTATTGGAGAGACATGGACTGCGTCCTCTCATCACCTCTACCTCCTCCTTTGTGCACCTAGGGTCCTTTAACCCGTCTTTGGTTGTGTTTTCTCTTGTGGGAGGGACGGGACAGAGCAGAACCGAGCTGCAGTTCCCTCGCTCTGCCTCTGAAAATTTCTCATCCAAACCTCAATCACGTAGGATTGCGTAGAGAGGAGAAAAGGGGAGAGACAGAAGACAGAGGGGGAAGAAGGGTAATGGGAGGGAGGAAGGAAAGAAGGGAGCCTGGGAGCAGAAGGCTCGAGGAAAGGGAGCCGTACCGAGTGCGCTGCGCTCTCCTGCCCTCCAGGAGCCCAGCCGCCAGCTGGGCCCCACCTGGGAGCTCTTCCGCTCTCCCCCGGTCGGTGAATGGTGCAGGAGGAACTCCGGTGCCACCGGCTCTTGGTTCCACCCGCCCTCTCGGTGGCTGTCGCCCCCACCTGGAGTTTCCTGAGGAGCTAGCGCTCCAGCCGAGCGAGCTGGTGGGGCGGCGGCGCCGGGGAGCCGGTGAGGCTCGGCGCGCCCAGAGACTCAACCCATGAATGGGACTCCGCCCTGAGCGCCCCATCCCGGGCCTGGGGAGGCGGCGGCGCGGCGGCGGGGGGGCGCCCTGCAAGCCCGGGGCTCTGAGTGACCAACCGCGCAGCAAGTTGGGCGAGTTGGCAGCCGACCACACCTGCCTGATGGCCCCGTCCCCTGAATCCGCGTCCAGCTCCGAGGGCCCCGGTGGCGCGCTCGTCTGTCTCCCGCCATTGCCCCTGGTGGCCTAGAGCCCCTAACCCGCTCCCCCGGCAACAGACCATGGTGGGCAGCTCCGGCCGGGAGCCGCAGGCGCCGCGAGCCGACGTCGCCCGCAGCCAGCCCCCGCCCCACCCGAGCCGACGCGCGAGTGTTCGCAGCGCGCCGGTCACTTCCTTCCTCGGCCGGCATGGGCCGTGCGGGACTGAGTGATCGGCCTCTCGTCGGGCGGGTAATCCCCATCTGAACTGCAGACTGTGAGCTGCCGACTGCCGGGGCGCGCGAGCCTGGGGGGCCCGGGCAGCGCGGCGATGACCTGATCCCGAGCCCGCCAGGGCGCCCCCTCCTTTCCTCCCTCGCTCGCTCGCTTTGAGCCTGTGCGGAGACCTGCACGGTGCGGCGGCTCCGGGCGGACCATGGCGGGGAGCTCCAGTTAAAGGCGTGTGGGCGCCGAGCTGGAGAGGACACCTTCGGCATCTCTGCCTTTTCAGGGGGCTTATTTAAACTACTGAGTCATTCCAGATTTAGGATTCCCTAAATAATCACCAACTGTGCCCGTCTCGTGCCGGAAAGCAAGCGGAGAGAGAAACAGCGCCCGCTCTGGGGACCCCGCGGATCGCCTCTCGCGGGTTTCTCCCCGAGGGTGCTTGGCCCTCGAGGATCTCCTTCCCTCCCTCCTGTCCTCCCCCTCCCTCGCCTCCCGCTCTCTTTGCAGTGCGAGGGCCCGAGTCGAGCTCACGGCAGCTGGAAACAGCGGCCCCCGCCCCGCGCCCCTCCCCAGACTCCGGCTGCCCGCTCGCACTTCGCGCCTCTCGGAATTCCAGAACTCCGGCGGCGGCCCCTGGAGAGCTGCAGCCGGGGCGATGCATTCCGTGGACCTCGCCCAGCCGGGACGGACCTCCTAATCTCCAGAACTGCGGGCTGCAGGGAGTTAAATTGCTGCCTTCCTCTCCTTTTCTCTTGCGGTTGGTGGCTTGTTTTCTCAAGGAACGTTTTATTCACTTTTTAGTATTTTCTACCGGGGCACGCTCCCCGCCTCGGTCCAGACTCTGCTTTGTAAATGGGTTTTATATGTATGTATGTGTAGATATACTTTGGACACCTTGCAACGCTTGAGCCTCTCCAACAGGGGCACGGCTTGTTATTTTGGACATCCTTCGTCCCCTTCCCCCTGGTACTCCGAACGCAGTGTGACCAAACTCCCCACTGGCCCCTTGGACGCGGATCGCCTTGGGGAGCAAGTTTGAGGTGCAAACGTCTACTTCGCAGGAAGGTCTGGGACCGCCCCATCATCGCCGCCAGCGGTTGGGGAAGTTTACATCTGGATTTTCACACGTTTTGTCGCCACTGCCCAGACTCGGACTAACCCTTGGGCGCCGAGTTTTCGGTACTGCAGCCTCTTCAAATATTAACACTGCTTCCCCGCGCCTGCCCTGTCCCTCCCGGCCGCCGAGGTCTTGCCCTCGCCCCGGCGGAGCGCGATCCCGAGGGCGCATTGGAGCCTGGGGCCCGGGGCCCGCGTTGAGCAGCTATGGCTGCGGCGATAGCCAGCTCCTTGATCCGGCAGAAGCGGCAGGCGAGGGAGTCCAACAGCGACCGGGTGTCGGCCTCCAAACGCCGCTCCAGCCCCAGCAAAGACGGGCGCTCCCTGTGCGAGAGGCACGTTCTCGGGGTGTTCAGCAAAGTGCGCTTCTGCAGCGGCCGCAAGAGGCCGGTGAGGCGGAGACCAGGTCAGTAGAAGCCCGGAGAGTGGGCTCCCCAGAGACCGACACTCCGCTCCCCTTCCTCAAGGCACCGGGGGACGCCCGTGCAAGGGAACCAGGATCCCTCTCTTCTGTTCTGGCCCCTCTTCTTCTCTAATTTCCAGACATCTCTTTCAACTACTCTCTGCCAGTTAATAGCTTCTTGTCCCATATTCAGGAAAACACTCTCTACTTTAATAAAACCACAGTTTGGCTGGTATGAGAGTTACATGTACAGATTCACCTAGTCCCAAATGGCCTGTAGAGTCTTGAGGGCAGTGACCACCTCGTTCACTTATTCATTCTCTCTCTTTCTCTCCCTCCCTACCGCCCTCTCCTTTTCTCTCTTCCATCCATCCATTTATTGAATACTTGTACTGCCCACTGAAGACCTAAAGATAAACAAGTCTCCCTATATCCCTCATAACAACATATGATAGACACTTAGTAAACACCAGATGAACTTAAATTTATTCTTCTAACTTCCTCCAGCAAACACATGGTATTTGCATCTATCAGACATACCAATCAATTTTTCATCTCTCCATTTCTTCTCCTGTCCTTTTCACTTCCTTTTACATAGTCCTCCTTTTCCTGTTCTCTTCTTCCGAGCACTCTCAGGGTTTCCAAGTGCTCTCCTCATTAACTTTTCCATCCTATTGCCTTCCTCCGCACACTCTCACTTAACTTTTGGGACATTAAGGGAACAAGATAGTATTCCAGTTTGGCCTCAGGGAGTGTAAAGAAACCTTGAGATTTGTCAGATTTTCATGGCATGGACTTTCTGAAGCTGATTCTCTTCCCTAACCTCAAATGATTGCTCTTGACATGTTTCTATTTACAAAGGAAATCGGATGCCTTGAGTTTCGTGTGATGATTCCCAGCTCAAGCCAGGCTAGTGTCCCAGTTTGAGAGAATAAAAACAGAATTGCTGAGAGATCTGTGCTTCCATCAGATGATTGATCCTCTGGGTGTGGCCGCAGGGTCGTTTGCAATATGCAGATACTCTACTCAGTGTGGACAGCTGAAAGGGAATACCATCTAGAAAGGGAACCTCCTTTGTGATCAGTTGACTAGTTTGCCTCTTTACAATGCTGATTATGGTATTCTCTTGGGCCCCAGGAATGAGGCACATGGGCTAGGTTAATCAGGGTAAGGAAAACGCTTGGAAAGTGTGGGCAAGTGGGGCTCAACATCAGTTTAGGCATTTGGGATTAAGCCTTGTGAAGAAGCCATCCTGTTTCATTTTCTATTGGGTTTTCATGACATTTTTCACTCCATAGTAGGCTCATTTTCTTATTCTGTGATGATAATAAAGTAGTCAATTTCAGGAGTAAGCAAAAATAATTATGATCACAAGGTTGGAGCTCCTCGAGTCTCTGTTATTTTATGTATGCAAAGACTAGAGTTATCTCTGTACAGTAAATAATTCATATTGGGGAAAATCAAATCACTTGTTTTGTTGTGCTGGGATCATTTGAAGGCCTTCTTCTCTCAGGGCTTATATGGTCTACATACAGGGAACTTTAAGGCTCTGAACTCAATGTGACTCTTATATCTCAGTCTGGGCAATATGTTATTCCAGTCAAGTTGAGATAATTATATGATGTTTGTGAGTTGATCTTATTCAGTCATCTCAGCTAAAAACAATGTAATAAGAATTATAGGTGGATTATATTTGTGTATTGATAGGATTTACTCACCTGATCTTTGGTTGAAGTTGATTTGGAGATGAGCAATGGCTTGATTTTGCATGGCTTAATTTGAATAGCTTAATTTTGCATAGGAAGGAAGGACTATATTCATTGCTTCCTGTGGCACTTTCCTAAGCATCTCATTAGAAAATAGTGAATTTGAGGGAATTTCTGAGTTTATTGTTTTCTTCTGTGTTCATTTAATCTGCTTCTTTTTTTTTTTTATCTACTTAGTGTTCATCTAGGCAGGGAGGATCCTGACTGGTGACTTCCTTTAGCTAAAGTGTCACAATCTGGCAGAGAGATGGCAGGACCTGTTAAGACATTCCCAGTGTGAGGGCAATACAAGTGCATTTGTACACTGCAGACTTCAGTTTGTTATGAAGTTTAGCTTAGAAGAATGGGAGTGTGGGGTGTGGAAAAGCTTTTTGGGAAAATGATAGTGGGCTATTATCATTACTAACAAAGCTAAATAATTAATCTGTTGATTTGCTGTCAGCAACTATGATTCACATAGCATGGGACGAGCCTATTTATAGAGAGATAGCACCTTCCACATCTCAATTCCAGAGAGGTTTCTTTAGCTGGATTCGGAGGAAGTTCCTAAACACCGAAAAGAAAAACTATTTGAAGAAATCTGTTTTATAAGCACTTTGATATGTTCTCTTATTTGAGTTATTCTTAAAACCAGTAGCCCTTCCAAGCCATATCCTTGTGAACTACAAACTGAGTTACACATAGTGAAGTGGTGAAATGGAATAATTTGTCCTGATAAAGAATTTCCACTCTGAATTTCTGTTATTGAGACACACATCCATTGACCAGACTCTCTAAAGGAGTGAGGGTACACCAGCCGAGTATTCCATAGGAAAGTCCATGGTTGTATTTCTGATTGCAGAAACAGCACATTGAGTGTCTCTCAATCTCTTCATAGCTCACCAAGTTCTGATATGTATAGTGTTGAAACTTTGTAAACACAGAGGAGGATCCTGAATTTATCATAGTAAAGGGCTCAGATTTTGAAATCACAGTAACACAGAATGAAAACATGGGGTCTGGCAGGGCAAGAGCTCACATCACAGTTTCAAGGCCATGGTGCAACTCGGGGTCTTTGTGAAGGCTATCCCGGAGCACTATGTGATGGCACACCCTGAGATTGTGCAGCAAAATCCTTACCTTTCTAGATGAAAAATCGTAAAGCCATAGCAAGTTTGTGGTTTATCGAAGGGTGTACAACTAGATTGTGGCAAAATTGGAACTAGACCTAGAGTCAGTTGATTTTTTTTTTTTGACTGCCTTCTTTGTGATACAACACAGAAAAAAGTAGTGCGAAGAACTGCGTGTGCACTATGAGAGGATGGAAATAATTTTGTGTTTTTGTTTTAACCATTAAGAGCTGGTATTACTATTATCATTATCATTATTATTTTATAATTAGAACAGAGATAAGAGTACAGGACCTGTCTCGCAGAAGATGGCAAGGCTAAGACAGGCAATTGGAGTTCTGAAACAAACACCCTGTAGCTAGCATGTATGATTGAAATGAACCCAATAGTGAAGACCTGTAGACAGTGCAGGAATGGCGAACCCTTAGGCACTGTGTGGGCTGCAGCTTTTTGGAAATGAAATGTTGGAGACTCTGAACTGGCAAGTTGGCTGAGTTCACTGAACCATGAAAGACTTTTTAAAACATTTCTGTTTGTGTACTTTCTTGTAAAGAAAGGAGCATTCTCATGTTGATTGAGTCATTATTTATATGTGAAATACGCATATGAGCCAGGCCTGCTGGAATATTTGCTTGAATGTTGATGTCACTTAATTTGCTGTACCTAGATTATTAATACATCCATATGAATTATGTGGCCTTTTCATTTCCAGCATTTGCCTTATTTTGAATAGAAACGCCCGAACAAATTGACTCCAAAAATGATGTATATTTTGACTCAGAAGTTACTGCAGGTAATGGGTAGCATTCACAATCGAGAAAGAAAATGTGTTTAGAGACTCTGAATGTCTGAGTAGCCACAAATCTTAGAGGTCATTCAGTATCGCACTTTCATTTTTCAAGTGAGAACCTTTCTGGAAAGTGCAGAGGAACTTGATAAGCTTAAATCTATGTATTTTAAGTGATTTTGGTGTTTTTATTATTTTTCTATAAAATGTAGTTATTTCTCTTAAACAAGAACATTAAAAAAAAAGTCAACTGAGAGAAATCCCTTACCTAAAAAACATTAGATGTTTTTCAGATTTTAAGTGTTTGGTTTTATATGTCCTTCCCTTAAAAAAAAAAAAAAGGTGTAGTATAATTGCACTAAGTGATAAAATAAATCAAAGAAGTGATTGTAACTTTACCAAAATTTGTGGTTTTTCTTTGTCATATTTTTCTGAGTCCTTATTTTTGCTATTATAAAAATTGTGGCTGTTCAAAATATTTTAGTATTCTTCAAACTTGTTTTGGTAGATATACAGTATTTAACAGCATACTCATTTGACATTTTACTATCAAACATACTTTTACATAGAGGAAGAAAACATTACAGTAAATAGAAGATGACATCATGAAGATGACAGCATAGGTGAAATAATGTGTAATCATGTGATCTATGGAATATAAATTACATTTTTATAAATTGAAATAAATGTATATACATCAAGAATAGATTCTTATGACAGAAGATATTCTACATTTACAGCAAGTACTTTGTATTTTCTCTTTTAAAAGTGTGACTCATGTCTGAACTACAAAATCAGTCTAATTAAATGTATTTGGCTTGATGTTTGTTAAAAAGAAACAAAATAAGCTTTTTTCCTCAGAAACCCACCCCAGGGTTTAAACTGATACTTTGTATGTGTTTTCAAAATCCTGTTTTTCTACTGCAGTGCATTCTCATCAACAAATTATGTTTCCATTATAAGAACATTTTAAAATAGGTACTGTGATCTCTTGATTTCTTTCATCTCAAAGAGATCTCATCAAGCTGTAACTCAGGATTAAGGCATAAAGTTTGAATGCAGTTGTTATTCTTTAGCAGAATTAGAAAAACAATTTGTAGGAAATGAGGTAGTCTCTGTATTTGAGGAAGCAATAGAAATATTTTGGAAGATATTTAGGAAAAAAAAGCTTTGTCTTATAAAATTAAATTTTGAAAAGTCCTGGCCTTACTGGTATGGCACCAAATTGCATTTATTCTTGGTGAGAGCATATTTGTGCATGGATATTACAATGCAGATTTGGTTTGGGAAATTTCTTAATAGTGATTATTTTTTTCTTCTTCTTGATTGCATCATCGTAAT